TTGTGATGGACCAACCCAGTCAGCTCTGGCTATCCCCAACCCATGGAAGCCAATGGTGAAAGAGCGAGGACACTGTAACAATGAGACTCCCGGTCTGGGCTGGATTTTCCTTGAAATGTACAGCAAAAGATTGCACAGTTATAATAAACTACTCAAACAGTTGTTTTGCAAGAGATGAATCCTAGTTACTTTATGCTGAAAGCCTACTGAATGGTTCTAACCGGGAAGCTTAGAGGACAGAAGATGTAAACTATCAAGAAGAAGGTCAGCAGAATCTCTGAATGTACTAGAGCCACATTTTCCCCCAAGGTCCTTAAAGATACATGTTTGGGTGGGTGGGAAAAGGAGGGAAGGAGAACTTACTCTAAGAAATGCTGGCCAGGCGTGGTGGCTCATACCTGTAATCTCAACAGTTTGGGAGGACGAGGCAAGTGGATCACTTGAGGTCAGGAGTTCAAGACAGCCTGGTCAACATGGTGAAACTCCGTCTCTACTAAAAGTACAAAATTAGCCAGGAGTGGTGGTGCACGCCTGTGATCCCAGCTACTTGGGAGGCTAAGGCAGGAGAATCACTGGAACCTGGGAGGAGGTTGCAGTGAGTTGAGATGAAACCATTGCACTCCAGCCTGGCCAATAAGAATGAAACTCTGTCTCAAAAACAAACAAAAAAGAAATGCTAACAGGTGGCATTAGTGCAATGGCAGACTCATTCTAAAGGACAGACAGGGTCTCAAGAGGCTGCTGAGTCATAGACAGTTGGCAGAGCTGGTAGTGACAACATAAACATCAAGACTGAAAGCGACTACTCCAATTTCACAGGAATCATTAAAGTGCAGATGTTTCCAAACTGTCATCTATCAAAACAAAGACCAATTCTGCATCACAGCAGCAGCAGCAGAGCAGACTTCAGACTTACTGGCTGACTTGAAATTGCGTTAGCTACACTGTCTCAAGAGAGGTCTTGGAAAGATCCTGGGAAATTACCCAAATGAAAATTTAGAATCACCCAGTGGAACTTCAAGGCCATTTGTTCATGGACCTTGTCATGGATTGGCCACGTGGTATCACAGCCCCCCAGAAGATAAAATAGTGAACCCCAAGTGAGAGCTACCATAAAAGAGGGTGAATGATAGCAAGTAGAGGAGACCACCAAACTGGAACTACAGAACCTGAGGACAGGTGCTATAAGAGCAGCAGGCTGGTAAGAAATGGAGGCTGAAAAAGAATTGGTAGATTGGTTGAAATCCCCAATGAGGCAAGGACGGCTAGGACCAGGACTAGTCAAACATGTGTAAAAACAATAAATGATACCATGCAGAGGCTATCCAAGCCCCTGGAGAAGTGTAACAGAGCCAACATCCAGCCTTCATTTAGAGCAGCCAGCTGCAGAGAAGCAAGGGCGAGTGAAAGCCATCCAGGGAGACGTCGATCCAAACCACTATCCAGTGCACATGTTTGGAAAGTCCAGCTTGAAAGCCAAGTACAAATGTTCGAGTAGATTTTGGTGGGCGGTGGGGCTCCTGGACTCTCCCCTGTTGTGCACTAGTCTTGCTGTCTCAGGCATAGACAGCTCAATTCCAAAAATAGCCTCTTATTTCCTTGCCACGTTTCACCCTGATGACAGGCAATTTGATGAATGAATGCTAACTTCTTTACCCAGATGCAGGACGATCCCTGGTGGGCTGCTTCTGGTGGTGGTTGTTTTGGAGGAGAACTATCAATTCCCTGGGAGCACGCCATGGAAGAAGGGGGCAGCAGAGACAAAGAAATCTTTTCCTTCCACCTTCCAAAAGATTGACAAGCAGAAAGTCTGCCTGCAGTCACACCAGAGGACACCACTTTTCTGTTACTGTAACATCTCTCCCTGGTTCATGAAGGCCCAGCAACATCTGGCCTCACAGAGACCCCGAGGGAGAGGAAAACCAGACAGCCCCTCTCTCCAGGTAGCAGGCCATCTCTCTGGAAATCTTTTCTGGCAGATGAATCTCTTCCTCAGCATGTCCACTCCCATTAATGGAAGAATAAATAAGGAGGCAAGAGCCAAAAACATAAAGAAGCGCTTCGGTGGGGCAGACACGAGCAATTTCCCAGATCACTTAGAGGATCTTCGAAGAGAATGAGAAGGAGGGAGCATCCTTCATCGTCATTCTTTCTTGGGGGCCTTTCAATAGGTGAGGCCAGAGAGATTTGGTATGAACCCTTTTGCCTTTGTATTGTTGAAAGGGACAAAGCAAATTTGGAAGTACTGGCTTGGGAGGTGGGCAGTCGGGGAGACCAAGAGAAAAACAGAGACACTTGCACCTATTACCAATTAGATCAACTTGAATATCCATATTTAATTTAAACTCATCAAATTGAAAAAAAAGTTGAAAGGGACTTGGAAAATAATAATTGGTTGATATTGCTAAAATCAAAATCAGACACAACATCTTTTCTCAATTTAAAAACATTAGTGTGTGCATTGGGTGGGGGGATGCTGAATAAAATCAAGTGAAATTTTGATTTTAAAAAGCAATCAACATTTCAAGAGATGCCTCTATGTCTGAGGTCCCAGTACCAAACTGACCACAGTTCATTAATAAATTGAAGCCTACCATTGGCAGACTTCATCATCATAGCCCGAAGGAAAACACTGAGATTATTAACTCTATTCAGCAGGCTGCCTATGAAGTGAATAAAGGAAAGCAAGCATTTCTTCTTTTTTTTCAAAAACCCCAACCCTGACTGTTTCTAGTGGTGAATACAGGAACACCCGTGCTGTGAGCGATGCTTCCAAGAAACACCAGGATGACAAGAAGCAAAATGTCACATCACACTGGGTGGTGGATCCTCAAGCTCCACATCCAAGTTACTGGTGAAAGAGACAGTTTATTTAAGTCAGAACCCAAGATGGAGACACTGCTTCCCAAAGAAGAAATCGGTGCTTTGGGAAGCTGCATTAACTCTGGCCACCAAAAATGACATTTCTGTACAATTACCTGGAAGAATTAATGCATCCTCCAGAATTGTTTTACTTCTTTTCCAGGGATCCCAACATATGCCCTGAGAACCTCCTTCCTACAATGGCATATAAATAATCTTTGAGTGCTATTATGAGCCAGATTTTGATGCTTTTAATTCCAGCAAATCTGCAAGGCATTCATCACCCCCATCTTACAGGTGAGTGAACGGAAGCTGAAACAGATCAAATGTGTCCAAAATCACAGGGTAGCAACGAGGGAAACAAGTTCTCTGACTGCAAATCCCACTGCCAATCTTCACCTTTATGGTTGATTCTCAAGCTATTTAAACAGCCAAAGGACCCCAGAACTCAGAACTTGCAAGCACCCGCACTAGACTCAGAAGTGTCAGGTTTCCGTTCAATCCTCACTAGCTATGGGATTGGTTGTGGGGAGGGAACATCCACTCTCCCTTCTTCTGGGCTTCCATGGGTGGACTTCCATGCCACTTCCTAAAAATGCATTGGGGAGAACTTTTTTTTTTTTTTTTTTTTGCAATGGAGTCTTGCTCTGTCGCTCAGGCTGGAGTGCAGTGGCAAGATCTTGACTCACTGCAACCTCCGCCTCCTGGGTTCAAGTGATTCTCCTGCTTCAGCCTCCTGAGTAGCTGGGATTACAGATGCATGCCACCACGCCCAGCTAATCTTTTTAGTAGAGATGGGTTTCACCATGTTGGCCAGGCTGGTCTCGAACTCCCAACCTCAAGTGATCTGCCTGCCTCAGCCTCCCAAAGTGCAAGGATGATAGGCATAAGTCACTGCACCCAGCCAGGGAGAACATTTCTGAAGGACCACTCAGCTGACACTCAGGCAGTAGAGCTGGTTTCTCTCTCTTGCCCTTTGAATGTGTCTGTTCTGAGCAGAACTCATCTTATTCCTTAGCTCCAGGATGAGCACACAGTTCAGGTCTGGCCAATCAGAGCACTCCCCACCCAGCAGTGTGCTTCAGGGTGAGGGACGCAACCCCAGCCAAGCCAACCGGATTGTGCCCCGGATTTCTACTGAAGAAGGGCTCTGTCTGAGGTTGAGGTTGCCAAGGGTAACAAAATCTTGGAACCACTGGTTGCTTTCCTGGCCACCATATAGAGATAGTTTTACTAAGAATTCCACCAACAAAGAAAAATAGAAAAACAGAAAAAGAGAGAGATTCCTGATATTATCTGAGCCCATGGATCCAGCCATGCCTAAAGACAGAACCCCCGGCCAGGCACGGTGGCTCACGCCTGTAATCCCAGCACTTTGGAAGGCTTAGACGGGTGGATCACGAGGTCAGGAGATCGAGACCATCCTGGTCAACATGGTGAAACCCCGCCTCTATTAAAAACACAAAAAATTAGCCAGGCATGGTGGCAGGCGCCTGTAGTCCCAGCTACTCGAGAGGCTGAGGCAGGAGAATGGTGTGAACCCGGGAGGTGGAGCTTGCAGTGAGCTGAGATCATGCCACTGCACTCCAGCCTGGGTGACAGAGCGAGAATCCATCTCAAAAAAAAAAAAAAAAAAAAAAAAAGATAGAACCCCTGAACCTCTCTGTTAAATGAGCCAATGAAATCCATCCTAGGGGGCTGAGTTGACCTTCCTTCCCTTCTAGCCAAGAGCACTGACACATACAAGTTCATATTACACAAGTGTACCAAGTTTGCTTGTACATCATAACCACCCAGCATAACGCAACTAGAAAAAAGAAACTAGGTGCTCCCAGGGTTTTGATAGGAATTTTAAAAAGAGTTGGAGAAATGTAACCAAACAGAAAGATGCTTGTCTGGATCAACAGGCAGTCATGATGCCTGCAGCCTGGGTCTTCAGGTAACAAGTGTTCCACACTGAGGGCCCTCACAAACCCACGTAGATGTTCTGTGACTGTACAAGGTACCATCATGCATATGATGCCTACCTGCCTTTGGATTTGCTGTGCAGAAGCTGCTCAGCATCTGAAACTGTGGACACAACTTTTGTTCTGAGGCCAAGAAGGCTTTCTGGAAATGCAGGCTCCCCACAAACCCACCTGAAGCACTGGAGACCCGCGCCACGTCCTGGGACTGGGTAGAGCGATTACGACTCTGTTGTCGGCGCCGGCCAGAGGCTGACCTGGTGGTGCGCACGTGGACCTCACTCACTTTGAAGAAAGCCACCATGAAGGGCTGCTTGTCGTAAGGGCCGTCTCTGCCCACCAGGCCCGCGGCTCGGGGGTGGATGTGGACTCCTTTAAGGCAAATCAAAGCATGCATCTCTTTATTCCACAGAAACTTATTCCTGTAGCTACAACAGTTAAGGGATACTTCCTAGTTTCCCAAGTGCTAATAATTAAGAATGAGTGTGAAGAAGAAATCACGTATCCCCAAACCTTGGTTGGCACTCCTGGGATGGCACCTTTTGGCAGAATCAAAGCACTCCTTTCAAAGTTTCGGAATCACATGAAGGAGTGGTGTGAACTCCTGGGCTCTCCTGTTTCTGCTAGATTATGAATCCGCCCTCCCTGCTGGACGGATCAGCAGTGGGGACCTCAGGCTGCTGGCTCTGATGCTGCAGGAGGAGCGGGTACTGCAAACCTGTTCATCCGTCAGGATTTCAACAGATGCGCCTGCCTCTCTCTTACTCGCTGCATCCCCCGCAACCTGCCTCTGCCTAGGAAAGCTGTCGTCCCATCGCCATCCTCTTGGAAACATTACCACTCTCCTGTCTCCAAGTGGCCCAAGCCTGTTTTCAATTCCTGTCTAGGCAGCCTCCGGGAACGGTTTTGGTTCTCAATGTAAGTCATGGCGGAATCAGTAAATGAGGCCATCCTGAAGTTGAGGACTTGACTATAGCCCACGGTTCTATCACGGCTGCTGTAAGGGAAATGCGTGAAACTGATGACCTGCTGGATGTTGGGGGCTTGTGGATAATAACTTACCATCCCGCGTCACCACACTCAGCTGAAGCCCCATGTTATGCTGCGGGGTCACAACCCACAGATTGCTAGTGGCCGTGATGTCAAATTCCAGCCAGCCTTCTTCTGAGGCCCACACTACGCGGGTGTCCAGCAAAAAAAGGTCAGAGTCTCTGAAAGAAAGAAAAAATGGCCCGGTGAAGAGCGCACTGCCTGAAGCTCCTTCCCACTCTGTCCTGTCTCAGCGTCAGGATAAAAAATGCCCGAGTCAGATCACATCCACTGGTGAGGCACAAGCACAGTGACCTGCCGTAGCTCTGAGAGGTGTGGTACCACCCAGGACACAGGCATGACACAATTAGGAGAGACAGGTACACCTGATAAGGTGCTTCCTAGAAATCAGCTTTCGCCTGGACACGGGCAGACCCTCTCAACTTTACCAAAAATCTTGCTGGTGCTGCTCATGACAGATCTTTTTGTGAATTAGGATAAATTACAAATAAATGATTTTTTTAAAAAACTTTATTTATTTATTTTTTGAGACTGGGTCTCACTTTGTCACCTAGGCTATAGTGCAGTGGCATTTAAATTTTCCTACTTCTACTGTATTTTAAACATTTATGATACTATTTATTAGTGACTAGCTTACTTTATGGCTAATAAGCTCTAAAAGCAGGGAAAGTAGGAGACAGCAAGAAACAGGATTCAAAAAAGATAAAAATCAGGATCCATATGAGCATTTACAAATTGGGCTTTGCTCATTTTTTCTTTTTTTGAAATTGGGACTGAAAATCTTCACGTTTGTTCCTGTGAAATAAGGAGAAACAAGAAGTCACATCACATGCCTAAGTAATCATCTACTATTTTAATTAAGGCCTCTGTATGGTCTGCAGTGAGTATCCAGTCCTTCCCCATATGGACGGTGTAGCTGGGGGTGGATGCTGAGTGATTATAAAGTTCATCCCAGCACCGCTGTGAGCTACGGCTGGGATTCTTTGAGGCGAAGTCATAGAATCCATTCCTTCCATCAGGCTCCTCAGGGAAGACTATGACATTTCTCACAGTTTTAAACTAACATAATCCAGGGGCTGTGGGATGATGGCGTGAGGGTCTCCTTCCGTTCACCCGTGGTTTTTGATAGGTCAGTGCCAGGGACGGTCATCTTTGTGTGTTTTAGGGACAACCTGAATCTGTGTATCCATCCCACGGCCACTAGAATGAGATGGCCTGGGACTCCCATGACAGGGAGGGCTATATTTTGGCCATGGAAAGACTCAAAGCTCCTGGTATTGGAAATATTTTGCTGCAATATCTTAGAGATAGAAAAATGACTAAAATTAAATACTAAGTTTAAGATGAGTATACATTTACGTAAGTTACAAAATGCTTTCATCTGCTTCTCTTTGCTTGGTCCTTACACCAATCCTAAAAGCTAGGCAAAGTGTCACTGTCTCCACCTTACAGCTGGGGAACCTGAGACTCAGCCACGAGGCTACCATCATGTGGTCAAGATCTCAAGCTAGTAAGTGAAAAAACAGGACTTAGTTTTGGATTCAAAGAGCTTTCCATAATAACATACTGTCTCATTGAGGTGATTACCAAAGATAGCCTGTGATGAATGAATGAACTTCATCTCTAATCCATCAGATACTTATGAGGCCACTGAAACATCAAGTTCAAATGGTTAGATTTCTCAGAGGAGGAGCAAACAGTTTCTCCTGCCTCCATGGCCACTTAGAGTGAGAAGGGAACTCTATTGTCGTCTTTTCCAAGTATAAACAGTAGGCACAGCTAAAAGTCGTTTACTCAGCTGCTTAACAGAGTCTGCGGGAGGCCACATTCTGGCCTGCCCGGTTGAAAGCTCCCTCCTATGTGGATGCGTCACACCCCCTGTTGACAAATTACCCCCCATCACTGAGGTAACAACTGTTAGCAGGGAGATGGGGGGGGCGGCGGTGTCCATGGAAAACAGCAAGCAGAGATTGGAAGGCCAAGGCTTTGAAGTTCAGATGTAAGAGGACATCAATTCTGTTCTGGAAGGTCACAGAAGACCCTTATCCAGCAATAACACAGACAGCACTGTGGGAAAGCAGCCCCAGCCCCAGAGGAAGCACAGCACACACAGGTGTCACGGGCAGAATGTGGCTGGCACTCTCCAGCGCCAAGACCCAGTAGGAACCTCGGGGGTAAGGGTGCCTTCAAGGCACGGCCCATGAGTGCATGCCGAGTTACCTCTGACGACTAGATTAGGCACCTACATTGTAAAGACTTATAATGAGGATACAGAGAAATACAGTTCAAAGTGTGAGGGTAGCACAGCTGGCAGAATGAGCTTTTATTTTTAAAGATCAGGGTTTGAGATAAAGAAAATGGCAGCCTTGTCCAAGAGAAAGTGGGGAATGCGACAGATGCACATCATCCAAGGAGGAGGAGGAAGACAGAGAAGGGCAGAAAGAGAAGGAATGAATTAAAGAGGGAGAACATGAATCAAAAGTTAAACTTGGTGCAAAGGCAGAAGATGAGGATGACCCGTCATGACACAAAGCAATTGCAGTCAGTGTGGATTCTTGGATGTGGGGAGACCAGTTTCCATCCCGACTCTGCTACCGAGTCACTTTGGGGCCCCATGAGTTTGCGCTGTTCTGTGGCACACTTTTTCTAATCATACAATGAGAACACTGCCTGTTCTCACTGCTTAAGAGGCCTGTGAGGTCAACAAGTGCAGTCTAGTGGCTGAGCCTTGAAAGACAAAAACTCTCTGGGGTCTATGGCAGTGAGGAAGGCTTGGACTTCTATGTTTAGATCCAGAAAGCTCGGGGCCTTTGGAAACGGAGTGAGGCAGAGCATGGACTTAAGATAACTGGGCCAAGTGGGATAGAGGAACAGGGAGTATTGACTGTGTCAACAGCCTTTATTCCTCAGGACAGCCAGAAAAGGCAGGACCTATGGTGTCTCTTGTACAGCTGAGCCCCAGGGAAGCTCTCAAGCTCACATGGCTGTTACATGGGGCAAATGGAATTTCATCAGAGCCCAGGCCCTTAGCCGTCACATATCTAAAAGGTAGAGTCATGAAGCAGACAGGGCAGAGGCTGAAAGTACTGTCCAAGGGCTCAGAATAAAGTAAGGGACCAAAATCTACCGCATACAAATGCTAAAGTCAGCTGGATACAGAAAATACAATAAGATACACAGGACAGGCACAGGTTAAAAATCACCAGTTGGGAAGGCTGGGTGTAGTGGCTCATGCCTATAATACTAGAACTTTGGGAGGCTGAGGCGGGAGGACTGCTGGAGGCCAGGAATTTGAGACCAGCCTGGGCAACATGGTGAAACCCTTCCTCTACAAAAAAATACAAAACTTTGCCAGGCATGGTAGTGTACTCCTGTAGTCTCAACTACTTGGGAAGCTGAGGCGAGAGGGTCACCTGAGTCCGGGGAAGTGGAGGCTGCAGTGAGCCATGATCACACCTCTGCACTCCAGCCTGGTCAATCAATCAATCAATCAATCACCAGTAGGCCTCCTCCATCAGGGTCAGGTAGGTATGAGAGGTGCGTGCAGGAAGGTGCCCAAGATGGCTGGTGTCGGTTGCAGATGGTGGCATTGGGGTGGAGCCCCAGTGACCCCCCCCCAACCTTGCCCTGCTCCTTCCAAGCAGAATGCTGTGTCCAGCATGAGAACATCACTAACGTGCTCACACCACCAGGGAGAGGAACTTGAAAAAGGAATGAAGCTTTAAGACATAACTTCATGGGCTCACCCTCAAAGCTTCCAACAACTCAGATATTGAAGAGATGCTATTGATGGCAAATCACTAAAACAGTTCTGGTCTGACCCGCATCTACTAACATTGCCTCAGGGATACATGGCCTTCCGAGTCTGCGGACTGTAAAAGTGTAGCCTCGAAGAAGATGCATCTGAGTCTGCCACATGACAAACAAGCTTTCCCTTCTAAATCTCACTTCGGCAGAGTTGAGAAGAGATGTTCTCACCTAAAATGTGTGTCACTAATAAAGAATCCTGGAGACTGGCCAAAATCATCACCATGCCTAGATTATTTGGACCTTCCTTTTGAGGTGGCATCCTCTCAAGTTGGCAAACCATGAAAGAAAATCTTGAAACAAGGGAAGATAATTTTGAATGCAGTTATTAGCTCTTTTGTTCTCAACTAACTCAGACCCTATATTTGCATGATGAATACGCTTCCGATCTTCAAGGATGTAACAGTGTTATTCTTCTCAATGTTATTCCAACCTTAGAGCATGATATTCCTCATATTGTGGTCATCCCAGGCAAATGAGGTTCTTAACAAATTAATACAGCTAATAAGAGATTTCTGGAAAATTTCAAAAATTCACCCTGGCATTAGAGTTGATGAATGAGAAAGCCACTCACAAAGGCTTGTAGAATTGGTGTTTGTGGGCAAGATTTATCCCTGCGTATCCCTCCCATCACACAGCCTCCAAGGCGCATGCCCACATCAGTGATACACCACTGGGCCGACAGACCGAGAGCACCATTGCCAACACACAGCAGGCCTTTCTCTCCTTTGCCCTCGGAGAAGGGCAGGAGGTGCCTGAGCTCCTGGTGGATAGGCTTTGACCCTTTCCTGACAAACCACACACCCATCAGGTCACAATGTCCGGGTCAAAGTACAACACTGTTTACTACTAACCATTTTGCTAGAAAAATGCTTTTGATAAAGTGGCATTTATATATTCAAAATGAGCAGATTTACAAAATACTCAATAAGGTGACTCTGTGGTCTTGTTCTTTATTTCTTCGTAACACATTCCTTTGCATTTGTGCATCTGGACTTGATGTTAAATTAAAATGCAAAACAACTTTCAGACACAGAGGAACCGACTTTCTGCAATAAGAAAAATTCAATTTTCAAATAGAATGAAAGTAAAAAAAATCCATTTTCATTTTAGAAAATTAAAGAGTCAAGCTCATGCTTTTTACTTTTTCCTTACATAAGGTACAGTATAGATTATGTTTAAACTTTTACCATTAGAAAGATAGAAAAGGCATCATGTGTTTGAAAATAGAGTACTACAAACAGGAGCAAACTGCTGCATACATGTACACATACACATTTGAGTAATGAAGATGAATGAACATTATTATTATTTGGTTACCCTTGCATTTTTTTACAGTCTTTGATATTATTCA